TGTCCAATAACTTTTTTTTTTTTTAATCTGAAGAGCTTTTTCCCATTAAAAAGCTTTTGTGCAATGGACAGTTCCCATGGATATTAATGGATATTAATAGTTTAGAATAACACATTGAAGAGTTTAGATGATAAGACATTCACGCTATCAAGCTACCAAAAAATAAATTGCAAAACCTTAAATCTATATAAGCTCTATCTATATGTTATTTCATTATCATGTTATCATCACACATGTCATGTCTTATATATATATATATATTAGTATAAAAATATATAATAACAAAATAATACACATTCTAATTTTTAATGAAACAATAACATTAAAGGACACGAACATTTGATATCTATCTATCAATAAATCGTACGTTATATAAATTATATATATATATATATATATATATCTTATAATCTTATAAACATTAAAATTAAAAAATAAATTAATAATTAAAATTAATAATTAAAATAATACGTTTTATTTTTTACAATAGTAGTATTAAAGGTCACTTCATAAAAAAAAATTAAATGAAGGCACCCCATTAAATTAAGATTGAATAAAGTAATTATTCAAATTAAGGTTATTGTAAAGACAGTTGAAATTGGTTTTGTTGGCATTTATTTTAAATGAAAGGACTTGCAATTAAACGTGCTGAAAGCCATCTCTCTATGCCTTTAAGAGAAACCCCATCTCTCCCTTTCTGCTCCGGTGGCACCTATTCATGTACCCTGATTTTCTTGGACAAAATCAATACCTCCATTTCCAAGAAGCTTCCCTCATATCCTCTAAATAATCCAACCACTCGTCCTAACTTAAATAAACCATAGCAATCAATAAGGCAACTTCAGCCAAGACGCTGCATCGGCCTGTCTTTAATGAGCTCCACTCTCTGTGTGTACACAGCCCTATTTCCTCGGCAGCGCATGCAACTGTCTGCACACATATTGTCGGCACGCTTTGCTCCCCATCGTTATTTTCGTCCTTGTCTCTGTTTGCCACGACCCACCTCATCGCCTGACCCCTCTGCTGTCTGTCGCATAGTGAAAGCTCTCTTCGCCTTAGGCCAATTAGTGTCAACTAGACACCAACAACATCAGTGACCTCTGGCTAGATAATTAAAACTAAATGGAAGGTGCATCTTGACAAAAAACGCCACTTCCGGTGACTGTCCCGGGACCTTTTGCTATCTCCTTCAGTGGCTATTAATACTGAGCACACCACAATACTTTTTAGTGCATTGATGTTACTGTCCAGTTTTGCACAAGTACTAGTGATCTAAAGAAAATAAACTAGAGTAGATGCCTATGACAGCTTCAAAGAAACACTGTGATGGTTAATAATTGTGCAGTTTTGTGGTGGATTTTACAGTAAATGCTATTATGCAGCACCGTGTAATGCTAAATTATACTAAATGCTATCAACAGGGCATACAATTTATGTAATTGCCGTTATTTTATTCTGTAGCTATTAAAAATAGCAGGATGTAAACGATTTTACCATTCACAAAATGCCCTGTGAAGTGTAAATTGAAGATGCTTATTCACGTTGCCAAACCAAAGTGCTGTTTTTATGTCACTACTAAAGCATGAACAGTAGAGGGCGCCAGTATGTATGTTAATGTAGGCTTCTTAGCGATACCAATTAGCATGTATTAGGTAAGGAGAGATCTATGGAGTCAATATGATGCCACATATATATGCAAAATAATAAAGTTTTGCAAAAGAAAATAAAGTTTTGCAAAAGAAATTTAAGTTTTGCAAACGAAAATAAAAGTATTGAGAAAAAATAAATGTGTTTTTTGCAAACAAAAATAAAGAATTGCAAAAGAAAACGAAGTATTGCGAGAAAAAAAAGTTTGCAAACAAAAATAAAGAATTGCAAAATATAATGGCCCTGCCCACATTGCAAGCGACTATATTAATATAAATTAATAATAAACGTATTAATAATAAAACACAATTAGTACCGAGATGCTTCACAGTACTAAATAAATAAATGAATTCGCATAAATTGTTCATGTGGTGGTATGGTAGAATGGTAGAACTTTTGTCACGTATTTCCGAGGTTCTGGGTTCTAATCCACCCTCTTGTAGTTTTTTTTTCTCTCTCATTAAAACCAAAGGTGTTCATCAGTGATTGTATATCAACAGAACGGACATGTTGAAAATATTGTGTTAGTTACGTTATTTGTTTTGTTTTGATTATAGTGCTTAGAGTAAAGAAGATCGGGATTTTGTGGGAGGCAGGCGCAATTTATTCACGTTTCTTCATGGGTAAATTGAGTTTGTGATCGGTAGATTACAAGATGAGGTTCTATTCATTCCTCTTTTTGGGGTTAGTAATATTTAGGGTTTGTTATTTTGGTTTGTTATTTTTGTGCAGACTCCTGGGTTGAGTACACTGCCGTGGTTTGTGAATTGGACTGATTTGTCCGATTCACTACCAGCGGTATTTTAGTGTTTTGGGTTTTAGTCCAAATGAGTTAGTTTTTGGTCATACGGTGCGGGAACCTCTTGCAGTTTTGCGAGAGGGGCTAAAGAGTGAAGACTCGCCTAAAAGTCTGTTAGATTATGTTAATGGTTTTCGCAGGCGTTTATCTTTGGCAGGACAAAGAGCGCGAGAACATCTGGTAAAGGCGCAGGTTAAGATGAAAAAATTGTTTGACCGTTGTACGGAATGTCGTGACTTCAGTCCAGGTGATCAAGTACTCGTTTTGTTGCCTTCGCCTGGATCTCCGTTTTGTGCGAGATTTTCTGGGCCGTATACAGTTAAACGAAAGGTATCTGAGCAAGACTATATAGTTGCGACTCCTGATCGAAAGAAGTGTAGTCAGTTGTGTCATTAGAATTTGCTTAAACCATATTTCTCTCGTAGTGTTGACGTAGAGATAAGTCCTGTTGTAGCGGCCGCTGTGGTATTTGAGGGACCTCATCATTCTCCTGGTAACGGTGAGGATGTTGAGGCACCCGGGGACGGTGAGCTGTTACCGCGTCTGAAAAACTCGGAGACTCTTGAAAATTTTGAGAATATGTTGGGTCATTTGCCCGATGAGTATAGGTCTGAGTTAATTCGTTTAGTGGCTGATTTTCCCATGTTGTTACAGTGCCACAAAGCGAGACGCGCAGAAACCTGAAGCGCAAAGGGAAAAACCTATCGCAAGCTCAAACTTGACTGAAACGCAAAATAAAAGCAGCGTTGCAAATAAATTGCTAGATATGGCCATGGAAAATATGTATTCATTTATATTTTGCAATTCTTTATTTTTCTTTGCAAAACTTCTTTTTTTTCTCGCAATACTTCATTTTCTTTTGCAATTCTTTATTTTTGTTTGCAAAAAACACATTTATTTTTTCTCAATACTTTTATTTTCGTTTGCAAAACTTTATTTTCTTTTGCAAAACTTTATTTTCTTTTGCATATATATGTGGCATTATATTGACTCCATAGAGATCTGTCTTTTGAACCCCTTTCTAAATATTAACTAGCATTAGGTGAGCAATCTGTTGACTGCATAATCTGTGACAAAGCAGTTATTTAAAAAAAGTTGTTCAGATTGTGATATTTGCATATATGCATAAATAATGTTCTCGTCCATCATAAGTGACATTAAGTAGATCGTTTGTCTCAGTTTGAGTTGATCTGTGGTTAGTCATAAGCACTGACCTGTGGATTGTACAGTCAGTGACATGCTATGGCTAATGTTACAACATGCTAAAAACTCTGAATGTGCTTTCTCTAAATAGCCTACCATAATGATAATTAACATTTGCTCATTTTACTTGACACTCTCTCACCTTCTCATATG